CTTAGTTTTTCTAACGCTTTATTTATGTCCGATATGGTGACAGATGCAAGGACAAGTTCTTCCTTATTGTTACGCGCGCGCCTTGTAAGGGCAGAAAATACATGCGCAGACACTAATTTAGCTTCTCTTATATATTTTGTTAAATCTTCAGCTTGGTCACTGCTACTCTCGGTACTTTCGTAAATCTTCACTTTCTGATGTCCTTGACCAATATGCAAGACATGGTCTCCTGCTTGGTAGACAGCGTTATTTCTTTCGGCCCAGCCTTTACCGAGGATTAGATCATAGTGTAATCCGTGGATTATGTATCCCCATAATCTTTCTTTTCGGCCGCTAATATCTAAAGTAACGAACGTAATATAGTTAATTTTGTAGCTTTTATCATCATCTTTCGCAAGCTTAAGCTCTCTAGGTTCTACAAGAATGCGTGGCAGGTTTCTTTTTTTAACAGTCTCTTCACTAAATGCAGCATATGGAAGGCAGCCGGAGTCAAAAAGAGCTGAGAGATAAAAATGATCATTTATAAAGGCATCTATTAAAAATGGTTTGCTATCCATTCTATCCTTAGCCTGTAAGATTTCAAATTTAGATGGCCTTGTTGCCAGATTTATCCCAAAAGAATCCCAAACCTGTTGCCTCTGAACACGACTTCGCTCAGAGGTCATTCGTTTCCCGAATCAGAACGAGACAAATGTTCATTAAAAAGGTTGGAATTAGTTGAGGCCGCATTGACGACCGAGTTTCGGAACCTACCAGAGCCTCTAGGTGTAGGGTTAACGCGGAAATTTCGGTACCTACACTCGCTCCATCTGTGTGAAGGAGATCTACCGCATCTCTCACACTGACCCTGTTCAACCCTACGGTTACGTTCTGGCTGAGGTAAATCAGGCGGAAATGGACGGTTATCGGTTCTAAACTCTTTATTCCTAGAGTCTCCTCTTCCTTGAGTGCCTTTAAATGCAGCTAGTAGAGATTGCATTTGGGCCTGTAGGGCGTTTATCCCACCCATCTGGACATCGCCGTCCTGATCAACAGGAGTAAAAGAGTGGCTGTAGGGATTGGGTTGAGGCTGATGTTGTGAATGGGCTGGAGTAACCTGAGCTTGGTTGGTTTGAGTGTGAGGAGGCCGCCAAAAGTCGATGCGTTGGTAAAATTCCTTATCTGATCCCGTGGCCATAGAGAACTCGGGCAGCTTTTCCAACTCATTGGCCATTTCCTGAACTTCGACTACAAAGCTGTCATAGTCCGTGTTAGATATGCCGGATCTATAGGCAAGGCCTTTACGTAAATGCGGCGCTAGCCCCTCTTTCATCGCGTTGACCTTGGACGCATCCTTAGGAGCGAGTATTCCAGCCTCGGAGCAGTGCTGTTCGAATACACTCCTAAATCTAGCGAAAAGTTGACGTGGTCCTTGTTTGATGGAGTGCAGAGCAGTCTGCGCTTTGGACGGCGCGTCTTTATCAGTGAAGAGGTCCTCCAGGTTAGCCAAAAATTCCAGGATATTCCACTCTTTGGATTTCTTTTTCTCAATCATCCATGGGGCAACCCTTTTCTGAGCGTCGGGAGGTAAGGAGTGGGTATAGACCCCGTAACAGAAAGCCTTCTCGTTGCCTAGGGACTTCCTGATATTGTCGTCTTCTGCAATCCCTTCGAGGCTTATCAGGAACGTGGCAAAATCGGATGCGTTGCCGGACCACTTTGGCCATTTGTCGAACATTTTTATCGGAAGGTGGCTGGACGGTGGTTGCTCGAAAGTTTGTTTGAATTTTTCTTTAATTTCTGGAGTGCCCATTCGGTATCTATAAGCTGATGTGCTTGGCGTTAGTACTCTTCCAAGCTGGTATAGTCAGATTGGACTATTGAAATATGACGGCTGTCAGGGGTTGAACAGATGATGCGTGCTGCTTAAGCGAGACGTCGCGCAACACGTAGTAAGAATGAGAGAATCTGAATATGTCACGAAACAGGTCGTGATTTAGTCAATCAAACGAGGGAAAGTAGTCTATTCAGATTCTCTATGAAGAATGAGAGGTAAATACAGAGGGAAAACACGTTCTACACATATGCCAAGTGCGCGCTAATATGCGAGGGATCGACATTAGTTGTGGACCCGTAACACTGCGGCCTAGACCTGCACGGGCTACTGTGGCCCAAGTCGTCTTTGGTGCCGGAGCCTGGGTTTTCGAAGGGTTAGGTACCCTAATTTCATGAGCCCTCGGCGGAGGAGGGTTGCTGGGGCGCGCAGGGAGAGCTGGTGGAGTGCTCCCTGGGCCTGATTGTATGAACTGGCCAATGGCCGCTCGAAGGTAGACTTTGATGCCGTCTACAAACTCTTTTTCGTCGCCAATCGAGAGAGGCGAAAGTGCTGCTTCAACACTGCTTATTGCAGTGGAACAGATTGATAAACGGGCCTTGATTTGCGTCGTGCGACGCTTCTCGGCCTCCATCACTGATTGCAGCTCCGGTGGATATTCCGGTGCTGATGTCGAAGCTGCGCCTTTTGAGGCTGGCACAGCATTTCTTCCGGCAGGCAATTCTGCACGTTCGGTCGTCTTTTCTCTGACGACCTCCTTTCCTTTCCTGGGACTGCTTGCCTCGGGGGCCAGCTCGGCGGGTTTCGTGGTCTGTTGACCATTTATTTCTGTTCTGATCGGGTCAGAATCAGTCATCTCTTGATCGGGAAGGTTTGGAGACTTCCCAGGGATAAAGGCCTCACTCGCAAATAGGCTTGATAATTTTTGCGCGAGGCCAGGTGTTTTTGCAGGAGCCCTCGGGCGGACTCTCGCGTTGTCCAACATTGAGTTGGGGAGCTTTTTTCGAACAGGTGGCATGACGAAAATGCCAGTGACTCGATTACAATTTATTGAAGGGATGCGACGAGCGCGAGAGGGAGGGAGAGGGGGAGAAGGGGAATATTCGAAAATTCGAATTTCAAAAAATTGTGTGTGTGTGTGTGTGTTTATTGTGCTACTAGAGTCTATGACTATCTTGCACATTGGGCTCCTCTCTGACCCAGGCCACACCTTGTACAGTGCTCCTATCCTCTTTTGTTACTTGAAAGATCATTGATATATTCCCCTTGATGAATAGCCATTCAGCTCAGTAATTACCCATGGAATTCGGCCACCTTTTCCACGGAACCTTCTACCCAAAAAAAACAAGAGAAAATAAAAATGGTAGCAATGGAAACTGCGTGCGCGGGAAAAAGTCTCAAAAAACCTGCAGCCCCAGCCAGGCGATGCCTAGACACCGGGACCACATGAGGTGCGCATATTGATCTACATCTCCCTTTTTTGTAACATTCGAGGTCAACTTGATCCAATCCACCATCTCCGTATCGGGTGCTGGGTACGCTCCGGAAACTCATCGGATGGCTTTTCCTCCGTGATCAAGGTTTGGTGATGAGTAGAGCTCCGACCCTACCATCTGATCTGATCGTGGTTAGCTTCATGATAGTGGTGATAGGGGAATGTGTTGAGAGATGAAGACGATATAGACCGCGAAAGCGATTGGGAATCCTCTTCGAAGTGAGGACTTTGTTACTCAATCTCGGCTCTGCAGACTCTACAGTGAGAGCTGGAGGTTCGTAGGGGACACCGCTGACAGGTGTGGAGAATAGTCCCCCCAGGGTTAAGTTTACTCCAAGCAGATTAGGGTACTGTATGCGAGAGTATTCCTACAGGTACCGCATTATCTTTCCTCATTTCCAGCATCATCATCATCGTCTTGGTCGTCTTATTTGTTATCGGAAGCGTATTTTGACAGAGGTGGAGATAACTCAGCTCAAAGTTGATAATGTGTTACTCAATCTCGACTCTGCAGACTCTACAGTGAGAGCTGGAGGTTCGTAGGGGACACCACTGACAGGTGTTGAGAATAGTCCCCCAAATAGCTATTGTAATTAAGGCAGCAACATGATTGCAATAGACAAATAGCAGTTTTAGAATAATATGCACTGGCGTCATGAGATATAATTAACCCATATCATCACTCATTGGCATAAATAATGATTACCCATCAGATGCCTGACGGCATACATTTGCTTTATGGTCTCCAACAACCTTTCCATTTAGGTTAGATAAGTATGTTGGAGTTCACACTAGTGTGCGGGAACCCCACTTTCATGTGTACAAGGTACTTGTTGCCACACAGACACAAGTAACTATCCAATAAACATCAGTAAACTTTATTGTATAGTTGTGATAGAACCAAGCTGGCTGTGATAAAATTCGATGTAATGAACTAATTAAAGAAGAAAGGAAATTATTGCTACCAAAGAAGGTTACTTGTAATCCTTTCTAACTCGACCCTTCCTTCACTATTAGGTAGTCCTTTAACCAGACGCAATTTCATTCTCACTCAAACATCACCTCATTCCAACTCGCACGTCATGTCAGATGTTTCCTTATACGCCATTCCCATGATTTAGATATGATGTAACCACCTTCGATCTTGCTTAGGTGCCTGCCTAAGCCATAACACGGTCAACCCGTAACAATAGTAAACAAATACATCACAATCCTAAATGAACCTCAAGGCTAGTATGTAACTCTTCCAATCTCCAGCGCTGGTCTAATTATAGCAAATATTAAAAAGTGGATACAACATGAAGGAAGATTAGAGCAGTTTCGCCTTACACTTGAAGTCGAGGCTATAATGAGGGGGAGAGAGGAAAGATTATCTCCTGCTGTTAGTAAGAAAATGGACGGTATCCGCACTAGACATAACAATGTTAGTGCACTTCTTGAAGGTAACACAGAATCAAAGTATAAACAATTTAAAAGTTGGGGGGATTCTATCACATAGGTGTCCTCCTACATAAATATTAGAGTTCGTAGATACCTGCATGGGCCTTTAAGGCGCCAAATCGGGCTAAATGTAATCAAAATCAAATAAATATTACCTAAGCAGTGTGCAGATTTAGAAACCTGATAAAGTAACCGTCCGCATTACCATATTTTAAGAGTAATTATTTATCAACATTGTGCCGCCGACCTGATATGGCTATTCCCAATCAAGCTTTGCAAAATGTATGATTACGAGTCCTTATTTTTTCCTTCTTTCTCTGCTATGTCGCAATTGCGGTATGACCCAAAGCTATAGAACTTATTTGGTCACCAAGAGGAAGCTGACGATGCACTATAGCTCCTGCAAGAAATTGAGACTCAAGCCGTTCAGGCGCAACAACAGTTAAATGTGGTTAAATCTCAGATTAACATGAAGCAACGTGAGGTTCGCATGCTTGATCTCACAGCAACCGAGGTCTCCCAGCTACCTAGCAACACTAAAGTTTATGAAGGCGTCGGAAAAATGTAAGCAGAATGACAGTTCTATTTAACCATAGCAGATTCTATGACTGAATCCTCGAGTGACCGCTGCCTATAGGTTCGTCTTCAGCCCGATGTCCGATGTAGAAAAAAGATTGCAGACGGAACAGTCCCAGATACAAGGTGAACTGGTCGGCCTCGGGAAGAAACTTCAGTATCTTGAAACTACATACAAGAATAGTCGAGAGCACATCGATCAAATTTTTAAGAATGGTGGTGGCAGAACTTGAATCCTCTTGCGACTACCTTTACTCAATATATCTTTGATATGGGTGTATTGAAGCATCTAATAACAGAAAAACTGTGCGTACGAGATATGCTGCACACATGCACCTAGGCGATGTGCTTCTAAACTGATTAATCAGAAGCGTTACTTCTTACCTACTTTAATTTCTAGTACAAATTAAGTGGAACTAGAGCCATCTATTAATTCACTTACTCTAGCCTTCGATTTAAGTTGTTGCGAAGATATTTGCAAAGGCACTTTTTGAAGCTCAGTAAAAATTATGCTACGAGAGGAAGCGATTAGTTTGCCCTATGACCAGAAACTTTCACAAAAAGACATTTAAAGTATATTCCAATATGCTAACTGAAGTTTTTGGGATAACATGGCATCATAACCTTCATAATCCGTTACAATGACACAGTGCTGCTTCGAATTGCTCCATCGATGTCATTAGCCTCTGCTGATCTGTGGCTAACTTTGTGATGAGAATGGTAAAATATAATCCAAGCTTAACATATTTAATCTACCTGCACATTATTTGAGAGTTATAAACCAATGGGAACATCTATATGAATCGCTCGTTATGCAGCTCATTCCCGCTGGACTGAAATATCGTTCTATAATAGATAGTTCATAACAGGCCTCATGATTAATGAGTCTCAATTTGTCTCTCATAACTTCGGGCTTAAACAAACTTTGAAAATTTATAATTAAAATCCAAGTTTCCTTATACGATTTTTTTTTCAATTATCTAATGTGGATTTAGTTATCTAGCTTTGACACATGATCAGTGAAATGTATACATATTCGTTGAACATCTTGAAGTTGGAGAAACTCATACTCTGGATTTGATTCGCAAGTACTACTACGAGGCATGCTTGCTTACACAAAAAGTCAACCCTCCTCCGTGATAACCCATCAAAAAGAAGTTTCAAAACCTTTGATTATCCAAGTATGTCTTCGTCATTTTTATATAACAGCAACGCGATAATTGAGATCGATCCTGGCTGGATTCGAATCAGCTATCTCTTGTCTCACATGAGATGTGTCCAAGCTATCTAGATATCTTTCACGTCCAACCCAAGAACCTGCCTGCAAGATTTGTGCACCGCAATTTCTGTTCTCTGGCGGGTACCCATATTCTTGTGGGCGTGTCTGTTGAGGCTATTTGAAGCAAGAGACTGATTTGAAGAGAGGTGTGGTCATTGAAATAATGATGTTCTAGATTGTACTTTTAGACTCCACGGAGATTTGGTATTAATCGATCTCGCCGAAATTGAGGTATTAATTTGGTTGGAAACAATAAATCGTTACCACGTTGGCCAACTTCTTCGGAGTTACAGGTGACTATTCTCAACACCTATGAGTTGTGTCCCCTACGAACCTCCAACTCTCACTGTAGAGTTTGCAGAGCCAAGATTGAGTAACAAAGTCCTCATTTCGACGAGGATTCCTAATCGCTTTCGCGGTCTGTATCGTCTTCATCTCTCAACACATTCCCCTATCACCACTATCATGAAGCTAACCACGATCAGATCACATAGTAGGTTCGGAACCCTACTCATTACCAACCCTTGATCATGGAGGAAAAGCCATCCGATGAGTTTCCGGAGCGTACCCAGCACCCGATACGGAGATGGCGGATTGGATCAAGATGGCTTCTAATGTCACAAAGAAGGTATTAGGAAACTGGGGAACCTGGCCTATAGCAGAAGAGAATTTACGGGTTTCAACAACTTGATACTTTTTTTAGAGCATCGGCCCCCGGAAGTTATTTGTTCTCTAATTGGACCCGGAGGACAAGACTGAACACCTGTACGCGGTGTCCTCTACGAACCTGGGGGTAAAATAATCTCCCAGAGCCAAGTTCAGTCAAATTTCGAAATATCAAGGAAGTTGGCCCACGAGGCAATGATTCAAATTACTCCTCCACGTCGTTCTTTCGCACCCAACGAGTTTGACTTCTACCTAAGTCTCATCAAGTATACAAGTACGACCAAGTACTGTCGGAATACTCCTACAGAGTAACTTAATCACAAGCTTGTTGCAACGATGTGGGTGGTTCTTAGATAATTCCTATTCCCTCTCCGAAAGAAGAGACTATGAACATATTCATTTATTATTTTCCGTTACACCATACCCGATAAGGTAACCCCACAAAGTTACCCTTGAAATTATGAATTACATATTTAGACAAGTACATCCTAATTCCAATGACCACACCTATCTTTGACCTTCTCTGGCCTCATCTAGCCACCAAATACACGCCCACGCCTATATTTACACCCGACGGAGGAAGCAAATCGTGCCGCTCAAATCTGGGAGACAGTTCTTTGGGATGGGCGTGAGAGGGACCAGGACATGTTTACAAAAAGTTGCAATGGAAGGATATAATCTCGACGGGCGTGCGATTTTCAATTTTGGCAAGGGTTTTACGGATTGAGCTTTATGCGCGACAAGACTTTGCTTGCGAGAGTGCAGCTGACACTATAAAAATAAGCAGACGATGGAAGGTGTTGTGGTCCGCCTCCTGGTGGTGTTCTCTGGTATAGTTTGAGTATCCTTGGCACCTACCCCACTTGGGAGGAGAGACCTAAGACCATATTTCGTGCAGAGAAAAGTCAATGGATGACGGAGGCATGTCTGGATAAGTCAGGGTTTTTGAGACGTTCCCCTGGGTGGGTATTCACGGATAAGGGATGACTTCGGGTGAAGAAAAAGCCGCCAAAACTTCTCAGTGGTACTAGGAAATGAAATCCGAGGCATGAGTGCTCTTCCTTTACGTTGAATCAACTATTCTGTACTTTTCTCTGATATTGTGTCTTAGCTAGATAGCTGCATACGCAATTAAAATCTAATGCAAAACAATTTGGACCCAATATAACTAAATGTGATCCATACACCCGATAAAACTTAGATACTTCCTGATGTAAAACTGACGGAAGATATAGATGAGTACGCGCACCTCATGTGGTCCAGGTGTTTAGGCCTCGCCTGGCTGGGGCTGCAGGTTTTTTGAGACTTTTTCCCGCGCACACAGTTTACATTGCTATCATTTTTATTTTTTCTTATTTGTTTTGGGTAGAAGGTTCCGTGGAAAAGGTCGCCGAATTCCACGGGTAATTACTGAGCTGAATGGCTATTCATCAAGGGGAATTTATCAATGATCTTTCAAGTAACAAAAGAGGATAGGAGCACTGTACAAGGTGTAGCCCGGGTCAGAGAGGAGCCCAATGTGCTAGATAGTCATAGACTCAAGTAGTACTTTAAACACACCTCTCTCTCAATTGGAATGAGACGTACCTGCTTAGTCATATCAAAGTAGTAAATCTCAGTGTGTAAGTGATGATGATAATTTTATCAAGTCCTGTTCGGATTAGGTCCTGATCCACGATGTCTAGCCTAATTGTGCTATGCTGCAGGCTACTATTCCAATTATTCATGGAGTCATAATTAGCGCTGTGAGTAGTTCGGTTTGGTGTGGGTTGTTAGATTGATACCTAAGCGTGTCTCAGTAGTCAGGCATGCGACTCAAGTAGCAAATGCACGGTAAACCTTAAGCACAAAATAATGATACAAATTAAGTTTTATATGCTACGTCCTGTATGGCTAGCGTGGTTGGAATATGGGAAATTTACCTGTAGATAGATAAAGACGTTGTAGCCCTCTGATAGTTGGGACAAGTCTTCTACAATATTATATCGGAATCAAATCTAGCCGCTCATTAAGCAATCTCATGAATTATTTCCAATGTCTGTGATAACAGACATACATATACAATATTGACAGCAAGTTTTAATGTCGATAATTTATGAGCCCGGAAACTGTCGACAACAACTTCAATGTCGATAATTATGGGATAGGCGTCCAGAAAGTCCAAGTTCAGGTGGTTTACGACGGCGCATTTGTAAGTCCAGATCGCGGTTGCGGGCTGAACATGATGTCTACCACCAGACATCAATCAGCTGTTGTCAACGCTGGTGCATCAATCGACGCAAGTATGCCTGCGTGATGTATCTGGGCTGTAGGTGTCGGACTGGAAGTGTCGATGTCAGGAACTGAGGATAGAGCAGCACCCTCATATTCTTTCCCTACACTACATCGGAATATTCTCTCATCTTAGAGAGTTTACCGGGTTACAATGGTTGCTATGGGTTACAAATGAAGTAATAGACTAGCAGCAGGCGCACCCCTTGAAGCCTTAGTTGCTCTGGTTACTATGATGTATATATGGGTTGGGTAGAGCCGATGTAGAGGGCCACGTCTTGTTTTCCGTCTTCCATTGACCTTGTCTCTTGTCCTAGTTTCTCTTGTCCCTTGTCCTCAGTTATAGCTAGAATCCCGAATTAATACCTTAGTCTATGACAAATCTTGTCAGATATCACTCGCACTTCTAAGTTATCTATAAAACACAACCCCTGGTACCCTCGAGTTTGACAGTCGATAATGCTAAGTGTGCAGCAGCATCGGCTTATTCATTTCCACTTATCTTTGAGTGGTCTGGCACCCATCTGAATTGTACTTTCGCCTTCCGTACAACTTCATTGAAGACCCGCGTTGTTCGGAGGTGGGATAAGAATTTCCCAGTCTAGACTGCGCGCACTGCGGCTTGGTTGTCTAGCAGCACAAAGATCTTCTCGCCGGGGTTTTTTGCAGCTAGTGCGGCTTGAAGTGCGACTGTTGCTCCCATTTTCTCCGCATCATAAACTTCTGCTCCGTAGTAAGCTTATTGGTTTTTCTGAAATTTCGATCCCCCGCGCTGGAGGACATAGCCTCAGGATGAGCGGCCGTGCCCCTCCGAGGACCCATCTGAGTAGGCACAGATATCTGATGGAGGTATTGACCTTATCCAACGGTTGTGTGAGTCAATCCCTTCCTTCTTTGTTCCCAGCTTGAGTGAATATGCTGGCGCCAGTAGTGGCTCTGGAACCCCGGCATATGCTAGTGGCAGTTGCCGAACTGCTCGTTGAATCCGAGTCATCCGAGTCTCCGACTTTTTGCTTG